CAAACCTTTGGTTTGCTACAATTTATGCCTTGATTAAAAATGTGCTGTCGGGTGAAACACACTAGTTAGTGGAAGGTTATTTGTTAATTAGTAAAACAAATCAGGTCAAATGTTGCTCATAAAGATTTTGCATGTCTGCAATTCTGAAATGGCTTAAATCTGGCTTCCAAAGTAACACTTTTGTTAAAGAATCAAAGCACGAGGGAATCCACATTGTCTTCGGCAGGTTCTAGAAGCAGTGGTAGGAAAGACCGTTGTTTTTTTTTTGTTTTTTCTCTACTATTTTCTCCACAAAAATCACACATCATTGCCAGGTGCTGGTGGCTCATGTGTATAATCCCAACTCCTCGGGAGGCTGAGATAGGATGGTCACAGTTCAAAGCCAACCTGGCCAGTAAAGTCTAAACTCTTATCTCCCTTTAACCACTAAGAGGCCAGAAGTGGATCTGTGAGTCAAGTGGTAAAATGCTAGCCTTGAGGAAAAAAGCTCAGGGAGAGTGCTCAGATCCTGAGTTCAAACTGGCACATGTGCACATGCACACACACGCACACAAATCACACAAATCACACATTATAAAAATAATTCTTCAGGGCTGGGAAGGTGGCTCAGTGGTAGAGTGCTTGCCTTGCATGCATGAGGCCCTGGGTTCGATTCCTCAGTACCACATAAGCAGATAAAGCCGGAGTGGCGCTGTGGCTCAAGTGGTAGAGGACTAGCCTTGAGCACAGAGAAGTTCAAAGTCAGTGCTCAGGCCCTGAGTTCAAACTCCAGGACTGGCAAAAAATAATAATTCTTCATCAGTACTAATGGTTGGCTGCCCCTCCTTGGCTTTTATTTGAACATGAAAGGAGAAAGACACCTGCCCTAGGAAGGCTTTCCATTCAGGACCCTCAACCTGTCCCTGAAATCACACAAGTTGTTCATCTCCATCAGTCCTTGGTGACACAGCGCCCCCTGCCTCCCTTCAGGAGAGCTGCTGCAGCATGAGGCAGAAAGTAGCTGCTCAGTAAACATCTGTGTTCCAAACTGACCCAGTGCTGTTCAAATATGTTCTATTTGTGTGTGTGTGTGTGTGTGTGTGCGCGTGCGCGCGCACGCGCGCCAGCACTGGGGCTTGAACTCAGGGCTTTGCACTGTCCCTTAGCTTTTTCACTCAAAGCTGACACGCTCTGACAATGTGTGCAGCTGACACCACTTCAGCCACAATCCACTTGTAGTTTTTTGTTGGTTAATTGGAGATGAAAGTATCACAGGCTTTTCGGCCCAGCTGGCTTCAAACCACGATCCTCAGGTCTCAGCCTCCTAAGTAGCTAAGATTACAGGTGTGAGCCGCCAGCACCTGACTCCTGTGTTTATTCTTAAGTGGCTTCCATCAGTAACAGCTTCTGGTGCCCTCAGGGACTAGAAGAGACGGATTCTAGCTCTTATGTTCTTCCTAGAAATCATACAGCGCCTTTAATCCATGTCCATAGTTCCCAACCTGCAACTGTATATCTTCCTACTTAGTAATAATAATAATAATAAGTCCCACTGTCACGCTCAGTGTGCGCGGGGCCCTGCGCCGGTGTGCATTGCCTTCCAGCCTCACCACGCATCCCTGCACTGCAAAGGAGGCGCCCTGAGCGGCCCCGGCTGACGCCCCCAGTATGGCTCAGATTCCCAACCAGACCGGAGGTGGCGTCACACTGATCATGGCAGCACAGCTGGCCTGCATCAGAGAAGAAGCTTCCGTCCCCACAGGACTCCTGTGGTTGCCAGAGAGAGAGACAGAGACAGAGAGACAGAGAGCGAGACAGAGAGAGAGAGAAGGAAATTGGGGTGCCCTATGGGGAGAGGCCCCAGGATCTGGCCCCCACTGGGCCGCAGGGGCCCCCGGCTGGCTTCCACCCCCCTGGGCGCCTGCCGGACAGCATCTGCTCTACCCCTGCCACGAGGCCACCAGCTCACCAGCACAGACAGCGGCTGGGCAGCTTCTGCCAAAACAAGGTGGGGTTCCTGGAACCCCAGGAACCTGCTCTCCTCCCTGCCCCCCCCCGCACGCCCCGCATGCTGGGATTGGAAGGACAGCGACAGTGGGTGATGCCCAGCCCTCTGGCCGCGAAGAACAAAGATGACAGAGAGCAGCTCTCTCTCCTGGAGGGTCAGTGCCAAGCAAAAGCAGATTCCCGAAGAAATTTAAATCCGTACAAACAATCCAATTACTCATCGAAGGCGAGATGTAGTTATGTCGACCTCAAATGAGTAAACTGTAGAGATTTCAAGTACGAAATAAAATAATCTCATAGGCACTGCAGGCGGCTCAGGGCAGGAGGCAGCCTAGAAAAGGAGAGGAAGCCTGCCGGCGTGTGAGAGCTCCCAGGGGCACCCCCCCCCCCGTACTCCCTGCTGCTGGCAGTGGACCAGTTCATCAAGGTGGGCAAAGCCGGGTGTGGTAGTGCTCTCCTGTAGTCCCAGTGAAGCATGCAGCGATGAGTGGAGGAATTCAGATGGGGAGCAGAGCACACAGTGGACACAGCTGTGGGAGGGAAAGGGCGTGGGGGGGGGGAGGCAGCCACTGTCCACATGCCACAGGAACTGGGGTGGTGGCTCTTGCCCACCAGGCCAGACTCAGTGAGGCCAAAACAACGAAGACCTCTGGGGAATAAACAATCACCCCAGCCTCCCTACCCCCCCCCAAGGTGGGGCTCTGTCCTCGCTTGGTCCCGTGGTTAAGAGCAGGTTAAGGAGGGAATGAAAACCACGCTCATTTCCATACTGGTGGCCCTTGGCACGTGCTGTATACACGTTAAGTGTGTGTCACGTTTTTATTATTAAAAGACAATTTCAGTCTGGGCACGGGTGGCTCACGCCTGTTATCCTAGCTACTCAGGAGGCTGAGTTCTAAGGATTGTGGTTCAAAGCCAGTGCAGGCAGGAACGTCCATGAGGCTCTTGTCTCCAATTAATCACCAGAAAATCATTAGTGGCGCTGTGGCTCAACGTGGTAGAGCACTAGCCTTGAGCAAAAGAGCTCAAGAACAGCACCCAGGCCCTGAATTCAAGCCTCACGACCCACAGAAAAAGACTAACTGTCCCTTTAAAAGCTTACCTGGCCCCCGGCTGAGATGGAGTACAGGTCCCTGAGTCTGGGCTAGGTGCTGTTCTTTCTGTTTTCCAGTCCTCAGGACAGAGATTCCCTTTGCAATGTCCCCAGATCAACGCAAGTAAGGAAATTCAGAAGAAAGATGTCCAGCCGGGCCCGTGTTCTAATCCCAGCTACTTGGGGTGGCAGAGTTGGAGGCCAACCCAGGCGCTTCCATCTCCACAAACAAGCTGGGATAGGTAGCGTCTGCCTGTGGTGCCAGCTCAGGAGGCTTAGGCAGGAAGCTCACTGTCCAGGGCCAACCCCAAACAAAAGAGTAATTAAAGCACAAGGTGCTGGGGGGGGGGGTGGCCTAAGTGGTAAAGCACGCATGAGGCTGTGAGGTCAAATCCCAGGCCCAGCTGTTTGTGGCTCCAAAATTCATCTGGTCTGCTTCTGTTGATTGCAGTCTAGCCATCGGCACACTTTCCCTCTAGTGGGGGGGGGGGGGGCAGGGCGCTCACACACTTGCTCTCTCCTGGGTCTTCCCCAGGGACCAGAGAGGCTGGTCAGTCAGGATGGACAGTCAGGATGGACAGAATGTTCCTTTAAAAGATGAATTGAAGCCAGAGGCCCGTGGCTCACGCCTGTCATCCTAGCTACTCAGGAGGCTGAGATCTGAGGATCATGGTTCAAAGCCAGCCTGGGCAGGAAAGTCAGTAAGACTCTTACCTCTAATAAACCACTCAGAAAAGTGGACGTGGCACTGTGGCTCAAGTGCCTTGAGCTGAAGAGCTGAGGGACAGCACCCAGGCCCCCAGTTCAATCCTCACGACCGACAATATATATGAGTTGAGCTAGAATCCAGCCCCAGGCCTGCCCGGCATCTGTCAGCACATACGCGCAGCAAAGCAGGGCGCTTGAGTAGAACTTTCAGGAAAGCCTGTGGGGTGGCATGAGGGACACAGAGCCAGAGAGGCCCAGCTCCTGTCCCTCCTGCTCCTGCAAACAGCCCACTGCCTGGTTGCCCTGTGTCTGGATGGGCAGGGACATCAAGGGAAATGTCACCTGGGAGGTGCAGGGGCCAGGGGCAGACTCAGTGACGTGCTGGGGACAGAAGTCTCTCAGATCTTCCCAGTGCCCGGCTGGTGGTCAGGCAGCCGGGTGGGCAGGCAGGCGGGCGCACCACAGCTAGCAATCACCACACAGGCCCTGGCCGGCCACCATCACCACGGCCACCTGACTCCAATATCAGTTCTTAACCATCAGCCGTGCCTTGGGCAGCCTCTGCCTTATTGGTGAGAGCAGCATATTTGCCTCTAGCCCCTGACCACTACAACAATGTGTGTGTGTGTGTGTGTGTGTGTGTGTGTGTGTGTGTGTGTGTGTGCTGGGACTGAGCATTGATTGTTTAAGGATGGCACTCTACCACTTAAGCCACCTCAGGCTTTGGGGTGGGTGGTTAACTAGAGATAAGAGTCTCCCAAAGGTTCCCGTGGGGGCTGGCTTTGAACCACAATCTTCCGATCTCAGCCTTCTGAGCAGCTAGGATGACAGGCGTGAGCCCCCCGCCCCCCATGTCTGCCTCATGGCACCATTGTCAGCGAACCACATCCACTCAGGACTGACCTCTGGTCTGCGTTATTGACAGGACTGAATGTGTGCAATGAGACGAGTCACACCAAGTTCCCAAGTTTTCCCAGCGGCTCCACCTGCAGACAGACTCAGGGCTGTGAGGGAAACAGGCAGCCTTTGGCCTGGTTGGGGGGGGGGGGGAGGTTGGAGAGAAACCAGGCCGTTTTCCAAAGCGTCGTGCCCCCTCTGGTGGCCATGATCTGAACTGCGACACCCAGGATCCACCGTGTCCCATCCAACAATGGGACTTGATTGGTCTTTGGGAAAATAGATGAACTTTCACTCCAGCTGAACTGATGGGTAATTCCTTGTCACACATGACTTTAATCAAGTTATATGCAGGAAGGGGGTATCATGGTGGAAGGGGAAAAAAAGTCTTAACATGAATTAAGGCATTGTGCCAAAGTAAAGCTACACCTTGAATCCTTTTCAGAGGACTTCAAAGGCAGCATGTACCTGGAGGGAAGGGGAGATTTGTTTGGGTTGAGCAAGAAAGGGCTTCCTGCAGCCCAGGAGACCGGATCTGGAGTGTGTGCAGCGTGTGGGGCTGCCAGCCTTCCTCAACCAACCTGTTTTCAGGGCAGGGGCCAGCTAATCGAAACCCTGATGCATGGCATTGCCCTGCAAACCCACCAGGACCGAGAATGAAGGGAAACTGAGGCTGGGGGCAAAGCTGGGGCCGCCAAGCCTGAGACAGATGTCAGGGCGAGGTTGGCATGGCCCCCTGAGCACCTGCCCCTGTGCGACAGGACCCAGGTACCACTCCAAGAAGGCCTCCTCCATCACTCCCATGAGGGAGGGGGTGGGCTGCTTCATTGGCACATGGCCCAGGGAGCATCTCACAACTCACTAGCGAAGCTTTTTGGTCCCTAGATTTCAAACGCTTCAAAGGCAGGGAAGAGAGATCTTCATAACCCTTACGCCAGGGCGCCATGGATGACAATGGGCGCCCAATCAATGCTCTCAAAGGCGTGGGAATGTAAGGGTTAATTCATGGGCAGGCAATGTGGTGGCTACAGCCAACAGAGTGGCCTGTTACCTTTTTTTCTTCTTTGAGTGTGTGCTGACACTGGGGTTTGAACTCGGGGTCTTGTGATCTTGCTTGGCTTCTTTGCTCATGGCTGGCCCTCTATCCTTTGTGTCATGCCTGTATGTCCGGCTTTTCGCAGGTTCATTGGAAATAAGCATCTCACAATCTTTTCTGCCCTGGCTGGCTTCAAACCTCAATCCTCTGGTCTCAGCCTCCTGAGTAGCTGGGATGACAGACATCTTAAGAATAGCCACCTGGTCTACTTGTCCATCACTGTGGGGGCTTTCCCCTGTTTAAAGCAGATTTCTTCCTGTCAAAAGTTCATCGTAGGGTGAATTTCCCAGACAGAAACCAGAAGAACGGAGAGTGACGAAATGCCCGGATAGGACAGTCCATCGGCAGGCTGGCTTTTCCTCCAGCAAACACAGTGGCTCTGGGAGACACTGGGCTCTTTGTCCCGCTGTCACAGGCGAATGGGCCCCCTCTGAGGGAAGCCAGCCAGAGCTGAGGGGGCTGCCCGGTGATGACTGAGCGGGGTCACGGAGCACCTTGGCATTGTGGGGTGCCGTGACAAGGCCAGAGCTCTCAGGTGAAATGAATACAAACAGCACCATCTTTTCAAAAGCCCCTGCGGTGGGCTGGCTAAACCTTGGCGTGCTAGGGACCACGGGAGGGTCCTGGGAGCACCTGAGACATAAGATCCAGGAGAAGCATTGGAAGCCTATTATTGCTAGCGGGTCACTGGCTGCCAAGGTTAGCAGGTGCCAAGGAACTGAAGAAAGAGAAAGAAAACTCCAGAATTGCACAGAAGGCAATTGACTAGGGACTTACAGACACAGACATGCCCTGAGAGGCAAGATCCACACCCCGAGGGCGGGAGGAAGCGGCCAGGTACAACGACATACCTACCTGGACTTTCCCCAGAGCTGTTCACCTGCCCCACGTCAGTACGAGGAGCCTGGGGTTCATCTGGGGTTCACTGGCTAGCATGGAAATGCTCAGCCGACTCCAACCTAATGACTTGTGCAGAGTGAGCCAGGGTTAACTCATGGGCGAGCAATGGGGTGGCGGCAGCCAGGACGGTGGCCATCGTGTCAAGCGGAATCTCTGAGATTGATTGATCATGTCTAGTAACTGTGAATACATAATTTGTACACTTTAAGGAACAGGTTGTTTGGTGTATGAAGCGTCCCCAGCCTCCCCTCCCCCACCCCCAGCCAGATCCAGGGACAGGGGACACAGCCCCCGCTTCTTAGTGTCAGGACTGCCAAGGTCACCATATCTAAAGAGTTGGTGGCATGGGAGAAGGTGCTGTGGCCTGGGAAATGCCATCTGCCACAGACACGGGTGACGGTTCTCTGATCTGTGGCAGCTCTGTGTGGGAGAGACCAGGAAACTTGTCACTCAAGCCGTGCGCATCCATTTGTTCCGCTCACGCTTGTTTTCTTCAGGGAAGGGGACTGTTTGGGGGCTTTTCTGTGCATGTGCGCATACTAGTCCTAGAACTTGAACTCAGGGCCTGGACACTATCCCTCAGTTGTTTTTTAATTCTCAAAGCCAGTGTTCTGACACTTAAACAACAGCTCCACTCTGGCTTTTGGGGGTGATTATTGGAGATAGGAGTCTCACAGATTTCTGGGCCCAAGCTGGTCTTTGAACCCTCCCCCTCCATTCTCAGCCTCTTGAGTAGCTAGGATTATAGGTATGAGCCTCTGGTGCTCAGCTCAAGTTTGTTTTGTAACAATAATTTAAAGTGGCTAAATACAAGATCATAATGCCTTAGATCCAGAAAATAATTCTCAAAAGTCATTATATCCAACCAGGCATCCGTGGATCATGCCTGGAAGCCTAGCTCTTCAAGAGTCTAAGACCTGAGGATCAAGATTCAAAGCCAGCCAGGGCAGGAAAGTCCATGAAACTCATCTCCAGTTAACCACCAAAAAGCCAGCACTGGAGCTGTGGTTCAAGGGGCAGAGTGCCAGCTTTGAGCAGAGAAGCTAAGGGCCAGCGCCCAGGCCCTCAGTTCTAAGCCCAGTTACAGTAGCACCAAAACAAACAAGCCAGCAGAAGCTTTCCAAGTGAGTGTGGCACTCACCCATTTGACCATTGCAGTCAGACATCTTGTTCTACAGTTGGTAAACTGAGGCTCAGGGTGCACGCCCCTCCCCCACCTTTCCTCTGCGTCTGCAGTGACATTGCCAGTTTATCAGGCTGAGGGACAACAGGGCGAGCGGCTCCCGCAGAACACAGCAGAGCCTGGCCAGTCCACCGGCCTTGGTGAAGGTGCCACCCAGGCCAGCTCAGGAGGTCCCCAGCCCATCCCCCACCCCCAAGATGTTGCTAAGGCCTTTCCCAAGAGGAATCATCTAAGCATGGGCCCAGCGCCCGGCTGCAATTAGCAGTGGTGAGAATCGTCAGTGGTGGACATTTTCAAGGTGGAAAACGAGGTGTGGATGAGCCACGGTCCGTGCATTGGAAACTGTGGAGACAGACAAAGCCTATTAGCAGGGGGCTGATTCGCCAGGAGAAGAGTGACTGCAATGGGTCACAATGGGTAGAAGATGTACATGTGCAAGCAAAACCCTAAAACCTTCCCACCTCAGAACAACAAAGAAATGGTCAAAAGCCCGCTCCTCAAGTACCACCAACCTCAAGAGATGCATGGGCTGAATTACCCAAGGCAAAGTAAGGCCATATCGGCCATATCAGTGACATGGAGATCAAAAGTAAACCCATGGGGGGGGGGGACCCACAGACCAGGGATACACTTTGCGCTCTAACTGCCTAGGGCATGTGTGCCCATCAAACCCCTGATCCTGTGAGGTCACCTACCAATCTGGCTTTGTTATACTTCTCTTCCACTCGTGGGTGAGCGTGTTTCTCTGTGGCCAGTGCCCTCCTTGCTGTGCTGTGCCAGCTCCCAAGGGCGCGCACTGGCGAGGGCACTCAGATGGGTGCAGTCAGCACCCGCCCCCC